TTTTGCTGTTGTGGTTCGCTTTTTCGGAACTTCCGCAGCATAATTACGGAATCCGCAGGCGACTCGGCGGAACTTTTGTGAACGTTCTGCGGAAGTTCCAGCCAGTTGTCTGAGATTATGTGGAAGTAGAGACCACAATCAAGAAAACGAATTAAATTGAAAAAAGCTACGAGAGCGTCAAAATCGGGAAAATGGTAAAAGAGGAAATATAATGAATAGTTGCTCATAAGAAAGAAAATTCCACTTACTTAGACAAAGCAAGCCCAATGAGGAACTCGCATTCTTCGACTTGAATATAGACATGGTCCGATTTTTGTGTGGATACCGTTCGAAATGGGAACTCAGGCTTCTCGGCCTGATCTCGCGGACTAACAAAATTATCTGTGAAGTTTACCACCGCCTCCGCGAATCCGGTTATTTCCGTCTAAAGACAATAAACATCATTCGAAGAGGTGAAGGAGGAAAGCTGAGAAAAACTCGCTTGCCGGTCAAGTGTGTCTCCTTTCGGATAAAAGTACATTATTCGCTGATGCTCTTCTCCTTCTTTTCTGCCCGATGCCGGATGAGCAACAAAGAAAAACTCGAGGATGTCTAGAACAAGATTTTGCTCCATAAGAAGCGAATTAAAAGCGATAAATACATACCCGACAAGCGGACCCACATCTCTGCTTGTGTCAAATGGGATGTGTTTGTAGCGAAAAAGTACAGAGGATTCCCAAACGTACCGGAGAACATGGTAAACATTGGGCTTCTGTGCTGATAAAAAAGGAATTCAAAGGCATAGACGCAATTGCGCGTTCAGATAAGCTGTTACACGCGATATTGCGTCCTTCCATTCAAGCTTGTGATGCTTTTTCGAGGGTTCTCTTGAGCTGTAAAATGACTCTGCATCTCTTTTTTAACATCCATATTATTTTGAGAGTTAGCTAACTGCGCTGTATTTCTTCAAAGAATGTCGATTGCTTGTTAATTACCCAATGTTTTGAATGTGCTTCTGCTAGGTTTTTTTTTCGTTTGAGCTGGCACTGCATTACCGAATTATATCGATTTTGTATTCACTCATTATGTAAGCTATCATCCTCTTTTCTGGTTACTGCCAGCTGTCGCTGTTACAGCGTTATCATGACATGCAAATTACTTTCTCCGATAACAACACACTCTAAGACTATTTGAATTTATTGGATCTACATGTAGATCAACTTGGCCAGCTTGTTGACTGATGCCTGATACTTTAGTAAATGTAGTGCTCCTTTTGATGTTGTATTATCATATGAATTTGCATATATTACTCGGAATCAAGTTCCTTTCTGGAGCTTTTTGGTTTCCTTTGGGAACATTTACGGTCTACCTACGCCATTTTTATGGTCTTCCTACTGAGACAAATCACCGGAACTTCCGCAGAACAAGCCAAATTTACAGAAGTTCC